CCTTGGTTTGTTGCAAGATGTCTCCCTGCTATTGCAAACATGGCGGAATCATTGTCACGCGAGACCGAGATCATACAGAGATCTAAACCCACTCACGAGATGATTAATCATGCAGCCTTACACTGCTGCAAGGAAAAAATGAACGTAGTACAATGCCCCTTCCTTCATTATTTAGGCAGTCTTTCCTTTGTTATTGCAACACTTTGTAGCAGTAGATTCCATCAATGTTCTGTTTTTATTATGTTCTATTTTAATATATTTTATTGATGTTGTATTAAAAATTCTTGATGTACATAACAAATGGAAAGTAATTTTGACTTCTGGTGCCAAAAACTCAAAACTAGTAGCAGTCAAAGTTGGCGGTTTTCCAGCCTACACATCATACCATTCAGTCAGAGCAGATAACTAAATAATCAGCAACTAAAGTTTGAACGCATCAGCAGTTTACATTCATCTCCGGGGGTTCCAAAGTGTGTCGCATCAGATTTGATGTTGTACTTTGAAGTTACTGTGAGGATAAATTGGCAGTTGTGAAAATAGTGGTATTTCAAGCATCTGTGCATGTTTTGCTCATGGGCTTCAGCTGTACTATGGCAGTTTTGTTTGTTTTTTCATTGAGCGACTTTTTTTTTCTTCAACCTCCTTTCCTTTTTGTTGCTATCTCCCAGTTGCGTGGAGTTTCCAGGCAGTGGTGCTATATTACAAAGCATTTACATAAATCAGAAGCATGGTGAAGTGTATTTCATTCCTCTTGCTATGGAAATCACCTTCTACACACACTCTCATACACACACACACAGTCCACAATGCACTGTAACAGAAACAGGATCCATACACATGGATGTACACAGATTTTCAGCTAGTCATAATCATAGAAGCTGCAGTTTCATGCAGGGCCAACATTTTCCTAACTCTTTTTTTTTTTATGGCTCCTCCATTTTGTTTTTAATTTCTGTCTCTTCTCATTTCCCTTGGAATGTGTCCATTATCACGGAACAAGATGAAGACACAGCTATTGTTCCTTCTCTGGAATTACTGAATGGGAATGAACACACTCAAGCATGATCAAACCCGCACACTTTCACAAACTTTATCATGTGTGTCAGTTTATTTGCGTTTATTTGTGTTTTTGACCTGTCAAAAGCCCTGCACAATTACAGGCAACGTAATTTCTTTACTCAATGGTTTGATTTGGGATGCAGCTAGAGAATAGCACAATATTTAAAATGTCTCAGATAGTCCTAGGTGATACTTCTCTGGTTGTTATGAAGTAGATGATAAATTTTAAAAGCATATTTTTCATTGCACAACTGTATAATTCAATTATGCAAAAAGCTTTTCTTAATTGTTCTTCATTAAAATAGTTTTCCTTTCTTACTACCTTTATGCTAGGGTACACTGCTGTCTGGTTTACATAATTACAGTAATATTGAGTTAAGATGGGGAAATGAAAATGAAATAAAACACCCAATAGTTTGCTTGTTTTTACATCCTTTATAGTCTTCACTGCCAATAACTCACGAGAACCACTGTCAGGTTAGCTCGCTGCACCCCAAAAGCTTTGGGATGACCCATGTGTCATAAATGTGGCACAGCCCCAGATAAGGCCACAGCCGTTGCCTCCAGTCGCTGCATCCTCAACCTTAGTATTTTTTTTTTTTGCTTGATGCCCTGTGGCAGCAGAGGAAGCTTCAGCAGCAGCTTAGCTGGTGTGTTTATTCAGGATCCATTAGTAGCAGCGTTTTTATGCTCTCAATAATTCAGCTCGTTGCTCCCTCCTGGGTCTCACTGCCTGATGGGGAGTTGGCTCACTGGAGCTACACAGTGGGAGAGAGTCGGAGAGTGAAGGAGAGAGAATCAGAGTAAAATAAAGAATAATGGTGAGAGAAGAACAGCAAATCAAGTAGAAAATAAGGAGAAACAAAGCAGGTTAAGAGAAAAATGTGGTAGTTCACACTTTGATCAAACAACACCAGATATAATGCTTATAATTAGGGATGTCCTGATCACTTTTTTCATTCCCAGTTCCTTTCAAATTCTCTAAATACTGTCTACTGATACCAGAGCTCCAGACTGCAAGTGATCAGTCATATTTTGTGACCAAATTTGTTTAGCGTGAGACTGGTGTCTTTCAAAGGTCACACTGGGTGCAACAGCAAAATAAACAGGTTGTGCACAAACAACTGCAGACAGATATAATTGTCATCATAATGTTCATCTGCAGGCCCATGTCATTCTCCCCCCCGTGCATGTGAGGTGTAATCACCCCAGACAGCCACTTAAATCAGGTAGAGCACCTGTTGTGAAGACCATGCTGTCCTGCTGACAGAAGGCTGTTCTGAGAGGCTAGCACAGAGGTCTGAGTCAGTGTGGACTGAATGGATCAAACACTTAAGTCATGCATATGCACCACTCACGTCTGAAGTTAGTAGTGGCTGAAACACACCATCAGGTACTTCTTTAAGTAATAGGCTACCATTAACTTTAGCCCAGAAGTGATCTGGCACTAGTCAGGCGAGGGAGAGAGCTCAACTGTGCATAAAGTCCAACACAGACATTGCCAAAGAGCATAAATTTATCTTCAGAAGAAAACGGGCTACAAATTGAAATATAATAGCCTAATCATCATTAGCACTGGCATTATCATCATGTTGACTGCTAGGCTATAGAGCACTACAGTGACTACAAGAACTACAGTTCTTAAAAGAACTGGAAACCTGTTCCAGATGTGATTTTCCCATTTGCCTGTTCCACTAGTCTATTGTCTATCTAAGGTTATTTAAAATAATTTGTGAAAAACACTGATTCTTTAGCATTATGTTGTAAAACAGAGGCGGTGCCACCAAATCTGGCACTATGCCACCAGTATGAAACGTTAGTCTGGAGCCCTGGATACAGTGTTGAATTATTTTTGTTCTGTTTTATTTTTCCCCCACATACAGGTATAATACATCTCATTACTCACCTACCCTCCCCGGTTTGTGCATGCCCGACTTGTTTTGTTTCCTATAGTATTTTGTGTGCGGGTGAGTAGCTACTACTATTCTACTTGCTTCTAAAATTTGAACGCAGTCATTTTAAACAAGATACAGCTGTAATTATTCTACTGTCCGTCAGCATGAAATGAGTGTTCTAGTCACTACAACACTGTCAGGAGCTGTAGTTGTTCAATGCCAACAAACCTGTAGCTGGATAGAGACACTTTTTTCCTGAGACATTACAATTGCATAGAGAATGTGTTTGACACCACTAAACTTGGCCCTCTCCCGGTCTTTAAAAATTTTTTTTTTCTCATCTCAGATGCTATTCAAACAGATGACACTTGCAAGTTATGCTCTTTTTGATGATTGCCGTCTTACAGTTGAAAAAAAAGGACTCCTTCTGGAGCCTTATTCCAATCAAACTTTCATCTAATGTGGCAGCTTGAGTCTCTCTAGTTTTCTCTCTACCAGTCACGCTTAATGCAAATCAACAGTAATTAAATTACAGGTACGCTGTATCGACCGCTGCGCAAGTAGATTAGGGATTTCTCTCCCTTTTGCAAAAACAATTCCCTAATTTTATTTTGGCTACCACGCTCTGTAAGATTACAGTTGGCACCATGGACAGTTGTTTTAGCTTGTGCCACACTGTGTCCTTTCATACTTTGAGGAATACTCTATCACTTTAATTAGATTTTTTTTTTTTTTTGGCTGATTGTCCCGACACATAATGACTAAAACTGGGATATCAGCACAGTCAGTAGCATATTATAATAGACCTCTAGCTTGGGTCGTACACTTTTAAACATCTACATTTAATTGTATAAGAACCAATACAGCATGTGACACTGGTAGTCAATATGTTGAACTCAACTAATGCTGCAGCAAGACCACTTGTTTAAGTTTAAGCTGACTTTTTCTTGGATTCTTTAAACTTTACCCACTGCAACAGAAAGATTGTCTTCTTTGTTAAGAGTTTACAGGGAGCTATTATGTTGATGGGAAAAGCAGACCAATATCCAGGTATTACTTTTAGCACCTTGGGGCTATTGGCTGGAAATTGCTTTGAGAGAGCAATAGAGGAATGCAATGGTTCAGGGACACATGGATTGCAAATAGCAGGAGGTGTAACAACCGCTGCAGTATGGTTTGGCACTACAATTATATCATAATAATATTAAATGAATTTCTTCTGTGATATGTATCATTTTAAACACAGAGCTAAAAATCCTGTTTGGGATCGCCCTTCTGTTGTGCGGTCTACCCTCTTCGATTTTTGAATTTGCATTTCAATTACATTTTATGAAAAGTAATTGACTCAGTGCAATCGGCAGCAGTGACTAAAATTCTTAAGCCCTAATAAACAGTACTTTGTTCATTGTCATCACTGAAAGTATAGGTATTTAAGTTATTCTTACTTGTTCAGTTTTCTTTTAGCTCATATGTAATATTTAATTAATTTTTTTATCGTTGCTGATCCTTCTTCCTCTATAGACGTGCTTATCCTCTCTTGTCCTTCCCTGCCCCTGCCACTGCCACTCCTTGCTGCACCTGTTTAGTCTGCTGGCATTTAGCCTCAGCTGCATTGACCCCAGTTGGGAACATACTTCAGGATCAAAGGCGAAGGGGGGCTGTCTGAAGTTGGAGAGGCAGAGTCTAAACCAGGGGTCTCAAACCTTTTTTACTGGGAGAGCTACTTTGAAAAAAATGAAAGCAGCTGAGAGCTACTCATATTTTATATTAGACTACTAGTTACATATTGTATCAAAGCTTTCAAACAGATCTCCAAACAAAACCATCTGAGTAAGCTAATTGTTTTATGTAACCATTTATTAAATATTGATATCAACACATTTTGTATCAAAAACAAAGATCACCTCAGACTGCCAAGCTCATATGCACTGCCTTTCACAAACCAAAACCTTATTTTATAGATTGCATGTACTGTAGGTGATGTAAAAACAACAGAAATTTGTAGTTTGGGCTCCTTATCATAACAAGCAACAGTGGAGGCAATTAAGGTAACCTACGTATGCCCACCTGCCACAGTTTGATTAACAACAGACATGTTAAACATTGTGATACTTACACATTTCAAAGATATCCTGATCTACATGTCTAATGCAAATAAACATCTATAACCCTGCTTAGAAATGGTACAAAAAGACACTCGTTATAACACCGGTATTTGACGGAGTATCAAATCAATGCATTGACACTTGCCAGAACATCTAATGGTACATAGCAAATATCAACTGCTAGACACTTGCCAGAACATCCAATGGTACATAGCAAATATCAACTGCTACTTACTGAAACGTAAAGGTACTGCAGACCACAGCACAACTAACTGAATTTGTTACAACATACCTCCTGTTTCTTGTATATTAATGTTGCATGTTTATTGTGTCATCTGTATTTGTTTGGACTGCAGTTTGAGCAGGTTTACTGAGCGAAGATCTGTTGTTTAATGTTTTTAGTTTTATAATGCATGCATTGTACTGTATATTCTCTGAACCTTTAGGTGAGCAACTCAGAATCTGGTAGCAAGCTACTGGGAGCTCACTAGCGATGTGTTGGAGACCCCTAGTTTTAAGCAGTGCAGATAGTTTAATTTATTAAGTGTTGAAGTGCAGCACTGCCAGGGAATTGTAGCACCATACTATTGAGGGAACAGGGTGGTATATTAAGTAGGACTGACCTTGAGCAACAACACCGAGGATGGAAATCTTTTTGTCTGCAAGTGTACCCTGTTGTGTCCTTGAGCAATGCTATAAATCCCTTGCAGCTTCAGGGGTCTACCTGACCCTGCAGTGTGACCTGCTGTCGAAGCAGGCAGGTGAAACAATGGTACTGAGTGAATCTGTGAAATAACATGTAAACTACGAGAATGAACTGCCACTCGTGTTGGTTTTTTTTCCCTTTTCTTTTTCGTTTTGTAATGCATCTTAAAAATGAGGGGGCGATCAGGAAAAAGTCTGATGCTTTTATAACCTTTTTGCATGTAGTGAAAGTTTATTGGGCTCAAGCTGAGGGTTGTAAAAAGCAGCAAGCAAACAGGTTGGTGTACAGACAATGGGAGTCGGTCAGCATAACTGGCAAGCAGTTTCCTTCCCTCTGATTCTATTCTTAGATGTTGTTTCTAGATCAGTATCCATGCTATTTATCTGTTCTACATATTTTGCCAAAACGGATTGCCCTCTGGTGTATGATTACTGCCATGGTATTTGATGTCAGCCAGCATGGACATGGTGCTCACCTCACCTTCCCTCTCTTTTCTCCCCCTACCACTCAGACTCCCCCTCCAGCCTTCCTCCTGTTTGCCATGCTGTCACTCTCTCTCAGAGGGCACATAAGTGACCTTGTTCACAGGCAGTTGTGTTGGTGTGATATGTGCGGGTAGGGCACATGGATACGTGTGTGTGTGTGTTTGTGTTAATCCTCTCTAACCAAATCAGAATCTGGATAAATTTTGTTAGGTTCAACTGAAGGAACAGTTTGCCAACATATGTGCATTTATTTATGTACCACATATTTTCATGCAGTGCCCTGCATGCAGAGGCAGCCATTGTGGCCTGCCTGTGTCCCCTCTAGAAAATGCTGAGTCACCCTCCAGTCCCCATGTCCCCTAATAGGCCATAAGTCATGGTGAAATAATGACCTGACTGCTGAAACTAGGCCTTCCCCCCCTGTGTGGAAAAGGGGAAAACGAGAGCAGAATATTGAACTTTTGCGCGTGTGTTGTAAAGAGCAGTGCCATGGCAACGGCTCTCTCTGGAGTAGAAAACAGGTGGGTGGCACTCAGCTCAAGCTCTAAGCTCGGTGTGTGTTTGTATGTGCGTGTGTCCTCTCACTTCGTGGTGCTTGCTGAGTGTATTGAAATCATGTCAGGTGGACCCCTGCAGAGCACTGCAATGCATTGTTTGTAATTAGACACCCTCACAGTGGCTCCATTACTCACAAATGAGCAGTGATCTGGAGTAGGAATGGAGATAAACACAGTGTTCATCAGCAGTCTGCACTAATAGCAGGAGGGAAGAAGCTGGGAAGCATTTCACTACTTGAGACTCTGACCTCCTTTGGAAAAGTAAATCCCATTTGGGGTTTTGCAGTATTTTGGCATTACATTCATTTTGTTATTCCTGTTTTATCTTCATAAAGTTAGTCACTTATTAACACTAAAACTATCATTCTTTTTTGGTGGTTTAATGTGGTAACATACCTCAAAGAATCAAAAGTTGTTTTTTCCAGACAACCTAAACCTCGACCTCTCACCTCAGGGGGAAGCATGCAGTTTTCTAACCACTGGCTTTCATGGCTATAAAGTGACATGCGATACGACCTCAAAAAGCTTTTTAAAGCACCCTGTGTCTGCTTGCTGCATTTGCTGTCAGCTTGGAAACCAGAAGAGGGAGGAAAGTTGCTAAGTGGTGATGCCTGTTCTAAAAAAAACACTAATGCAAATGTTAGGCTACTCCATATTTGTCTTTACATATTCCATTTCGCCTTTTACATAAGAGTGAGGTGTGAGTGGACTTTTTAAGCGGACACCTAAAAAATGCAGACACTGTACCATTCCCTAAACTCAGCCTTCCCACTTCACATCTTGAAACTGCTTCCTTTTTAACTGTGTTGAAAGGCAGTCAAACGGTAATGGATGGTTTTGAATACACCACATTTTGCCATTCTTGTACCGCTAGTGCTATAATTTGGCACCTTTTGAATGCTTTGGCGCTGCCTTTTCAGGAGGGAGAACGGCTCCCTCAGAGAGCTACATATTGTTTGGACAGTATTGTCCACACTAGAGATCCAAATGCAATCGATAATCAATTAATCATTGACATCCCTAGTACACACAAGTACGGGTAAGAAATGGAGGTGTTCTCTTGTGTACCTTCACACACAATCCTGTGGCACTTTGAACAATATTCATATATTGTATCCCTACTAGTGGTATGGCTTAAAAATCCACATCCGTCTTTCACAGATATTAATTGCTGCAGGGCAAGCTGTCATCTTTGTCTCTGTGAAGTGAGGTGTCTATTAAAGATAGGTGTCTTTTTGCTGTTAAAGCTAAATAGCTGACTAAAGGGCTGCTCCTGTCATCTTGCTTCTCCTCACAGGGCCATTATCCTTTGTGTATGCCAGCCTATATCCTTTACTTCCTCTGATAGGCTGTGTTAGTGTTACACACACCCACACTGTTACATTCACTCACAGACTCTCTCCCTCTCTCTCTATCACTCCCCAGGAGGAACAGAACAGAGGGAAACCAAACTGGGAACACCTAAATGAAGACCTTCATGTCCTGATCACAGTGGAAGATACACAAGCCAGAGCTGAGATCAAGATGAGGAGAGCAGTAGAGGAGGTCAAGAAGCTCCTCGTACCTGCTGTGAGTACATAGCATGTTTATATATACACACACACACATCTGGTATGCAGTCACAACACCTTTATGGCCAAATAAGATATTCAGTGTTCTCCAAAAGTACAGTCATTTGAGTTTCTAGGGAAGTTGACACAGAGGGCATGTTTTAGCTCTAATTTAGTAGTGCTGAGAGAAGGCTTTCCATGCTCAACTAACTCCAAACAACAGGATAATGGGGCTACATATGGCATGCCACTTAAATCCCACTGCTGGCATCCTGTTTACTTCCATCTATAGACCAGGGGAACAGGTTGGCTGAACCCCCAGTGGAGTGGAAAAACATAGCTAGCTGCACACACCTCCTGTGAGTGCCACATTTCATCTCCGTTTCCCCTCTGCCTCAGCTTCCTTATACACTGTGCCACTGTAGCTTTTTGGCACATGATTCATATTTTCCTAGTTAACTGTGGTGACCAGGTGGGCAAGGTAACTGAAGGCCAGATTTGCCATCAGGTGGCAGTGCACAGCTTGGTGGTCTGCAGAAATGGGGACAGCCGATGCCAGGCATGCAAGGTTAAATGAGATGCAGTGTAAGGTTGTCCTTCATGTACTTTGTACTGTAAATACACATTTCTCCTTACATGTGTGCATCTACAACAAGGGTGATGCTTTCCCTAAGTAGTTGTATTACAGTACAATTTATTATAATTTTTCATCATCCCTTTAAGTATAGAGAATGAGACGAGGAGAGGCAGGAGAATGAACAGCAAAATTTATTATCACTTTAAGTACGTTATACACACAAGGAATTTGTCTCCGGTACAGAATCGAGGCAGCCATCTGCAGCGCCAGCTCACACACACACACACACACACACGGATGACCCCTGCAAGGTGCTGCTATGGCCATTGGGGCCAAGTAGCGATTCACATGTAGACTGCAGGCAACCCGTCATCGAACCTCCAACCTTCTGGTTGGGAGATGACTGCTCTGCCCCTGAGCCACAGCTGCCCCAATATTTGCTGCCACCTCGGGTACTCCTATTCACCGAACCACTGCTTTACCAGCTAGCCAAGACTGAAGGGGTATTGTGAAATAATAGCACATAAAATGTAGGCTAACTACAGTATATTGTGGACACATCTTGGGCCCTGAAGTGGAATTGTGTTCAGCACATCTGAACTGCTCAGGTTATAGATGCAACATCTGGTGTCTTTATGCTGGGGTCTCCTGTCTATTACAATAGCTCTTCTCTGTGTGTCTCGGCGAGGCCTTATACATCCAACCTGATGATGTGGAAAGCATGTCCTCTCTTTGAAAAACTGCTCGTCTCTGTTCAGCCCGCCTGTCACTTCTTTAGGCACTTGTGTCTGAGTGCAGGAGTATTTCAGAGCTCCACAGCCAATACGTAAACATAGAGGATGTTGACACATGTATACAGATGCATGCAAATCTGTGTGCGCTCACATGAATGTGAAGATGAAGCCATCTCTGGAAGTGACAGTTTTCTAAAGAGTGATGCAGAATGAGTCACTGTTAACATGTGGAGACTCAACAAAACCCCTTATGATGTCCATTTAAGTCAGTGACAGCTTCAGGCAGCTAACATGCATCTGAATAGAGTGCCACAAAAATAGCTTCTTCACTTTTCTAGAAATCTATGCATTTCAAGGCTGACAAGTACATTAAAGATGGTCTACTAATTCAGTATCTGTACAATTCACTGGCTCATGAAGAATCCCTTTTTATTTCGAAAACAGAAGGAAGAAGCTTCTAGCTCTTTTGATACACTAATGAAATCTTGCTCATAAAGTTTCCTCCTGCCCTCAATTCAAATAAGAGTTTTATAGAGCTAATTAATGACTCATTGCAGTCCACCAGAGGCCATTTTTCCTTCAAGCAAGGCATCTTTGTCCATGTAATGTAATGAAAAGATCTTTCCATTAAATAGATGTGGTGTGTTCTGTTTTTCTGTGCCTTTCAAATTTACTTATAAATGCTTTGATCCTTGAACACTAAAATGGTCCTGCTTTGTTTTGTAATATAGCAAAGGCACATTGGTCCCTTGTTTATATATGCTCCTAATTTTAAAGTCTGTTAATCCAGATATATATTTTTGTTTTTGAACATATTTTGGAACATTTGCCTGTCTGATTGGAAATAAACCAAGTTTAGATCTCTGTAGGCAATCAGACCCCCCCATTCTGTTTACATAAGAGGTTGGTACTCCTGATGGTGATTGACACAATGGCCTGTCACTGCCCAGGGTTTGACAAATTTGACTGTCAGTAGAAGTGATTAAGTTTCAGTTTGTCAGATTAGGTTTATAGTAGTCCTGTCCAACGAACTTCTTAGACCACTCTTAATTTATTCATGTCATTGTGTGCATGTGTATGCACTCGTCTTGAGTGCATGGGCAGTATGGTAAATGGTCTTATACTTGTATAGCACCTTTCTATGCTTTTACAGCACACTCAAAGCGCTTTCACACATTATTCGGCCATTCACCCAGTCGCACTCCCAAGCACTCATGCATTCACACACCGGTGACATCACCGGGAGCAACTGTTCAGTGTCTTGCTCAAGGACACCTCGACATGTTGACTGGACAAGCCGGGAATCGAACCGCTAATCCTCCGGTTAGGAAACGACCCGCTCTACCTCCTGAGCCACAGCCACCCCCGGTATGACTGGCTGGTGTACTTCCCTTTATTATACTAAACTAAATTGGATTAAAGTTGGATGGCCAGGTACGCATGGCTGTTCTAATGAAGGGCACCTTCTCCATGTTTGGCAGCGTAAAGTCACCTTTATTAAATTGCACAGGAAACAAAATGATGTCATGCTTTCTATTCCCTTTCATGGAGCAGGCTTTAATTGTCACTGGGGAGGACCCAGCTGCAACACTGAAACAAAGGAAGGACAGCGTGAGAAGCAAACACTTGTTTGGTCAGCAAAGCTATTGGTAAATTGAAGCTAAAGGGTTTGTAATGATTGGTTTGCCTTCAGATAATCTCATAATTGATTCACTTATATTAGAAGCCCAGATGTCACGGAAAAACCTAAACTTACCAGTTGAACTCGCCAAAGTAACTGTGGCACTCAGGCTTACGGTGCTTATGTGTCGAGAGAATTGTATTTCATACTGAATGTTGTGTTTAAAATTGTAATTTGTTTGATTTTAACAATGAATCTCCACAGTTCAAGTGTGCCTTACCTTAGATGCACAATCTTTCACAGCAGATTTTGTATGTACAGTATATATATATGTAGTAAATAGGATTTTCTCTATTATCAACATTTTAGTGTTTAACATGTTAGCTGAGCAAATATTGATGGCTATAAAGCCCTGTCAGTGGGTGTTGCTTACTGTGGCAGTGATTGAGAGTTGACTAATGGGAAGCGTTAAAGGGTTCACATTTGTTCCTCTTTGCTCTCTGTAGCACTCTGTTACTCCCCAGTCCTGTGAACTCTTCAACTCTTCATGAACTGGGAGCAGGAAAACATTGTCAAGATGAGAGAGACAGAAGAGGGGAGAAAGAGATGGGTGGGAGTGCTTGATTGAGCTACTCTTTCAAGTGTGGATTTACTCCACTGATCCTGCTCTAGTATACACACACACGAGGATATGCATGCCCAAAAAATGGCTTGCCCATGCATGCACATACACGCTGACTAAAATGCACCACTCATCCCTTGAGTTCTTGGTTTAAGCCCTCAAATGAAGCTAGCAGCAGAGCCCCACTACACTTTAGGTAACCTTCACTCAGATACTGAGATGTGCTGTATGCATAAACCCTGTCTGATCTGTGCCACTTCCTCTTTCAGTACATACAAAGGCTGGAGAGCAATAATAACCGACCTGTACACATGTATTGTCCTGTGACTGACAGCAGTGCTTGACTAATTATGAAAGAGGCAGTAAACCTGACTTGTGTATATGCAGTGATTATGTAGGATGGAATTTCCATCACAAATAAGAATCGGCTCTCAGCCGGAGTGTGTGAACATAGCACAAGACCCGCTTAAACCCAAATCCATTTATATTAGTTGTACTCCCCATGTCAAACAAAGCTCGGGTGGTGTGTCTTGGCCGGTATCTGTATGCACATAAGGTGCCACATTTCCACATGTATTTTATATCAAGCTGAACTTTGGCTTTAGGGGAGTTTCTATTATAATCACCATTAAAAGGCTGTTTAACATGGGGCACTATAGAGACATCTTTAAGAAGACCTTTAATAATAATCTTGGGGAAAACCTGTGCAGCTCCCCTACATGTAAAGCATGTTGCACCTTTGTTCACATACAGTCATGGCCCAAAGTATTGGTGGCCCAAAATACTGGCACCCCTGCATTTCTGTCAGATAACACACCACTTCTTCCAGAAAACTGTTGCAGTCACAAATTCTTTCTTCTTTTCTTTTTCTCTTAAAAAGCAGAGAAAAAGGCCAAATCTGATACAGTTGAAGTGGGTAGTTATAATATTGCTGATCATTAAAATGAAGCATTCAGTTTTGTCACATTCCACTGCAAGATGCATTTTAAAAATGGCTAAGCAGACTAAATCCTGAAATTTAAATGTGTTACTCTGGAAATAAACCCCATCCCAGTACATCACTTGAAGCTCTTTTGAGAGATGAATTTATATTTTGTAGTGATAAATCAGCTACTGTATGAACAGAATTGTTTATATGATTAAAAAGCCGTTGATTCTGGTCTTTAGTGTTTTCCCCAACCCCACCCTTTGTTTGTTGTTTGATTTTTATTTTTCCTATTAATTTGTTTTATCTGAAGTGACTGATAGATTATGGTGTAAAGCAATAGGGATGAGATTTTTAGGCACAGATCTGTTTTAGCAAGAACAGAAGCCACATGATGCGAGTTGATTTGATAAAGGGAGCTTGACACTGTGCCACCCACACTGCTTAGCTGCAAGATACCTAGATTACATTAACAGAGGTAGCTTCGTAGCCTTGTTTCTCTTTTAACACACACACATACACACACACTTTTATAGAGCA